GGGCCGCCTCGCCGCCGCCGCGCGCCGCCGCTCGCAGGGCTCGAGCCGTGGGAACAGCAGCGCCCAGCGCTAACGGGTGCCGCGGTTCGAACCGCGCAGGCAACGTCCCGGGCAGCCCGCGGGGTCCTCGCCAGAGCGCGCGAGCGGGGGCTGACGGGCGGGCGCCACGCTCACAGCCTTTTTTTCTCTTTTTTTAACTATTCGTGCGCGCGAAGCACGGGAAAGAGTACGGGTCGGGAGACGGGACAGAGAGAAGACGACGGGACTGGCCCCTTCCTCAAGGAGGCCCCGAGGTGCTCAAACACGCCAATCCCTAGCAGTGCCCCGAGCCACGCCCCCATCGCCAGGAGGGTCCAATCAGAAGTACCTAGTCAAAAAGCCAATTGGGTAGGAGAGAGAAGGAAGCCCAGCCAATACTGAGAAAGAAGGACGGAGGCTCCCACCAGTTACAGTCCGGCACACAGAACGTTCTTCCAAGCGGTCTTCTGCCTGTTCTCATTGGCGCTCTCGTGCGCGCGCTCGCCGCCGCCGACTGTTGCGCGGTTTAGAGTCTCTCAGGTCGTCGACCAAGGGCCACTCCCAGGGCGCGGCTTCCGGAGCAGGCCCTGCCGCGGGCCCCGCCTTTGCTTTGCGCACGCGCCCGAGCGCGGTTGCTGAGGAGACGAGGCTCAGAAAATGGCCGCCCTCGCTCGCGCGCCTGGGCCCTTCTGCATCGCAGCTGGCGCGGGTCGTGCGTGAGGACGGCGCTGCCGGGGCGACTGAAGGTTCCCAGGCCAGGCCCCACGAACTTTCCACCGCCGCCCTGGCCAGCGCGTCGCCTGCCCTCACTTGCCCTCGGCCCGCGTCCGCTGTGTCCTTCAGGGGCGACCTGTGCCGCGTTCTAGGCTTTGGCTTGATTTTGTTCGAGGGGGCAGGGTCTCGCCGTGCAGCTCGAGCTGGCCTGGGCCTCCCAGGGCGGGCTCCGGGCTGCGGTGCCGGGATGCCTCGTGAGTGAAGTGCAGTCACCGCTCAGGGCCAGGATTCGACGGAAGGGCCGGCAGGGATCCGCAGGAGAGGCCCACGAGGCGGATGCTCGGCGCCTGAGCTGCAGAGACCCGAGCCGACTTTGAGCGGACCGAAGGAGACGGGTGGGTGGCCTGGGAGGGAACGAGGGAACAGCCGGCGCCGGAGGCAGGGGGCTCCCGTGCCAGGATCAGCTGGACGCGCGTGGGGGAAGTGGCGGGCCTGGGCGGGGGATCCGGGCCGGGGGCACCGGTTCAGGCTGCGCCTCCCGCGGCTTGGGCTGTGGGACCCGCAGGCTGTAGCGTGGGAGGGCTGCTGGGACCTGCTTCCGTCGCTGAGGCGTGGCGTGAGCGGCCGAAATGTTGAGACCTCGTAGGACAGGACAGGTTCCCCGGACTGACGGGCTGTGTGGTATGTAAGGAAAAGACAAAGGGACCAGTGGTTCTTGTTTTGAATCTCATCGACTAGATTGTGGCCTTTGTTAAAGCCAGGTATCGTGGGGATCTGAGTTTGGTAGGAGCTATCATTATTCTTAGACATATTAAGATTGAGGTCCCTATTTCACATCAAACAGATACCCAAGGAGACCAAGGACCAAATTGAGCCAGCAGATAACCTCAGGGACAAAGGAGAGAATGAGAAAATACAGGCTTGTGCTTCCTAGTTTGCCTTCTTGTACCATAGATTGGCGTCTCCTTTCCTAGTACTAACAGGTCGGGGATTTAGCTCAGTGGTTCCAGTGCCTGCCTCCTCGAAAGTGCAAGTTCCTGAGTTCGATCCTCGGTACCAAGAAAAGATCCTAGTACAAACAGAATCTTTGCTACTTTCAAACTATCAGGATGGAATAGTTTTCCATTTCCTTGAGATCTCATTGTACTCATCGTTCTTCCTGTATAAAACAGTATCAGTCAAGGTTAGTTAACTTTATTCTGGCTGGCCGTTTGTCAACTGTTACAGCTTATATCTTACATCTGTCCCCTCAGAGGTTCATGTGCTGAGATCAGAGGCAAGCTTTTGAAAAGTGATTAGAGGGCTTTTATCTTGCTAATAGGAGGCAGGGTCGGGTTGGAAGACGTGGGTCTCTGGGGGTTGGGGGGGAATCTTCCACCGGTATGCTCCCTTCCCTTTCTGCTTCCTGGCTGCCATCCCTATGCCGTGCTGTACTGCCTTGGACCCAGCTGACTATGGACTGAAATGTGAGTCAAAATAAAGCTCTCTATGTTGTGGTTGTTGGGTATTTGTCTCAGCAATTAAAAAGTGACTAAAACACCAACTAAAAATCGGGAGTCATGATATCAAGGCACAATAGAATGGATAGAGGACAAATACCATAGCATTCTCTGCTGCTGTGCTCCCCCCTAACCAGGCTTAACAAAACTTTCCCAGAAGGTGACAAATGGAGTCAGTACTCTTGGCTCCTTAAAAAGAGAATGTGCTAGATACCTATCTGTCCTTTGTGGTAGGTAAGGAAATACGTTGCCCAAGATCTCTTGTCAAGAAGTTGAACTCCCAAGGTACAGGGAGTACTTCCAGTGGTCAGCTCCAGCAAAGTTGGCTTCAGCTGTGAACAGTACCCGTGCGGAAGGTTGTACCGTTCCCAAGGAAACCTACAGTAGGAGAGAAAGCAAGGCCAGGATGTAAAGGCTCAGCTGTCCATTTGCTGTCCCCCTCCTCCCTCACCTCTGATGGGCGGTCTTCACTCCAGAGCTTTTGGCCAAGCTGTCCCAAACTTGGATCTGTACTGGAATTTGACCTCTTCCTAGTCCTGCTTCCTCTCCCTTTCACATCTTGTCCTCCCCAAGAAGCCTACCTACAAGAATTGGTACCAGGATTGGTTGGGAAAACAGGCACTACAATCAGGTAGGGGAGCTGAATTATGGACTACCTGGTTGGTGGTAAGTGTATCCTAGCCAGCTCCTAGCACAAGGTGATGGTCCAGGTAGGATAATGTACCAGGTGGAAGTGAATGTACTAACAGATGTGTAAAGCATATCAGGCACTCGAGATGTATAGTGGAAGTTGGAGCTATAAGTAACAGAACTGAACGCCATTGGATAGAGAAAGTAACACTTGGAAGTTCATAAGTAAGTAATAGTCAAATGTGGAAGCCACAACACTTCTTTGAAGG